AGATTATATGATTTATATATTTTTAAAAGCTTTTGCTATTTGCTTCTTTTTTATATTAAAAAAAAGTCAATAAATAATATAAGTCAATGCAAAATAGAAAATGTGACAGTTATACAGTTATCCACCTCAAAAGTTTGCTGGCTGCTTTTAACAGTACTGTAAGAACCTATCAAGATTATATAGAAATTACAAAATGTCCACGCTTTTGCCCCATTATAACAAGATTCAGACAACTAAACCAAGGAATTCTATGTCTTTGAAAGCCAAACAATCCTTAGGGACTACTTATGACAGGTCTAAAAAGATTACTCATTGAAACTTTACTGCAAAGAAAATAATAGCTTCTGGTAAAAAACACCCCATTTTAAGAAATTCTATGCTCACACCTGAGAACATAGAGCAAGCCAAATATTCTGTATCTATAAAGATAGAAGAACCTATCTGAAAAAAACACATTATTCTGGAAAATTTCCATGCTCAGAACTTCAGTGAAAAAAAGAAAAAATTAATTCCACAAAGAAACTTTGTGAAATAGACCTATAATTTCATTTAATCTTGTGTACAAAAATGCGTCAGTAGGAAAACTTCTTTTCTCTGGTGACATTCTTTGCTCAGTTGTGCATTAATTATCATTATAAATTCTTACCTTGTAGCTATTAGATCTGCTCAACATTACAATGCCTTGCACTTACCACATTTTTTTTGTCTTTTCTCCACCAGTTTAATCTGTTAGCTGGTTTATCCTGAGATGTTCTTGAAGGGAAATGGGAAATCTGCCAACAGCTTGATTTCCTGGTGGAACATGTTGAAATTGAAATTGCATGTTTTGCTAAGTGGCAGCAATGTTTTCACTTTAAAACAACAGAATATAATTTGTTCATTTCTTAGAATTATATAAGCAACCTTTTACTTTTGAACATACGCAATGTCACTTCAATTCACTGGGAAGCAAAACAGTGGCATAGTATTAACTGTAGAAGTATGTCATATGCATTAGTCTGTTCCGGAAACAAGGTGCTCATATGACCTCCCAGCACCAGATAACAAATTAACTTTGCCTGTTTGGATTACTGACTCCAGCTACAGTACTTATCTTGGCTAATTTCATGTTTTCTCTCTGCCATGACAGCATCAATTGTGTAAGCAGAGATCTTTTATAATGATGCTCCATGCTGTCAAGGAACAGATTGATTCCAGGAAATCTAGAGGATGTATTTTTTGAAAATTAAAGCAATACAATGATTTCAAATATAGTAGATGTTAAATTGGGTCCTCATGTGCCAAACATCAGATATTTGACTCCAGCTATTTCTTTGTTTGATTCTCTGCTTTCAAAACTTACCTGGAGAATGGAACCACGGTCATAGCCCCTCAAGTCTGTGCTCCACAGAGCTCTTTTCCCATACCTCTGTGAATAGCCTAAATTCCCTTCATCTCAAAAAGTCCATCAGAACCAATTTCCTCTGCCTTTTCTTGTAAAACCAATCCCATGTCATTAATACTATCCAATACCTCTCAAGTTGTTTCTGTCAAATCTGTGTGGGATGGGAAAGCATTTAGGAAAGGCTGGTCAACTGCTGTTGATAAGCTACAAACCAGCATTGAGGCTTCCTGTCCTTGATGCTGTGGAATGCTAAAAGAAATCAGAGGAGAAGGAGACAGTTTTTGCTAGTAATATTTATTTCCCCTCATTTCTGAATAGAACAGGTGCATTATTCCTGTTCTCCCACTCATCCCACTCTCTGGGACAGGAGGCACGAGATCCAAGAATAAATGGCAGTTGCAAAAATAAAATTCACTTTGAAAATATCATTTTACTGCTATGATGGGATATTTTGTCCCCAGTTAAATTGTGACTGACTTTTAACATAATTAGACATGATGTGTCTGTCCCCTAAACTAGAGCCCTTCTTTATATTGGCTCTGTCAGTTAAGCACATTGCACTTATCTCCTGAACTCTGATATGTAATTTTTCCTGTATTTTCTGTCCAATTTAAATATATTGTGAGTGATAGACAGAAAATGAACTTATCTATTAGTAAATAAAGCTAAAGAAACTCTTTGTCCACCCTATCGATTTCATGGCAACCTTTGCCATTTGTTTCAGATAAACTTTTTTCTACTAGAATTTGCTTTTGCTTCTGACATTTTAGCCAGCATTTTCCCACCAAAACTCATGATCTGTGACCCAGAAGTTCAGACACACAACAACCAAGCCTGGAGTGGACTTACTTTACACAGATTTGCTGATTTTACTCTCAAAAGCTGTAATCATCTTCAAAGATATTCTTAGAAACATTTTGGTAGGGTACTCTTAGAAAGTATTACCTGTTTGGCCTTCATCCCCTTTACACACGTTCGTAGATATTCTGAGTCATTGCTAGAAAATTCTAGAAGGATTCTGGGGTTTCCATACTCTAAGTGACGTTAATTTGAAGGGAATATCATCCAAAGAAAGAATAATGCCAGGAAGGTTATTAATTCTCATAAAAGATATGAGGAAAACCTTTGAATTTTTCTGCACAGAACAGTTAATTTTTGTCGGGTTGAGTTTTTTTAATGTAGACTTTGTCTGCCATGGGATTGAAGTTCAATGATTTAGCATAATTCAGGGCAGACTAGGCAACATTTTACTGTGTCAGCAACATGCAAGTCAATTATAATTTTAAGGCTGTGTTCCCAATGTTTGAAGAATGATGATATCAAGCCTTGTAATATCAATGACATTTACATTTAAAGAAGTGGAGAGATAAGGGAGCATTAACAGAAATAGAAATAGCTATGTTGCAATGAATAAAAGTTACTTGCAATTTGTGTAAAATACCAATGTTCCCAGTGCCACAATGCCCCAGTGAGATAGGCTTACATTTCACTCACCTTTACCCCTTTTATTTTTTATAACTGAAATCCAAATGAGCACAAATTAAGATGAGCATGCTGCATAATCAATGTTCTTTATATTATGAATTCATGGGGATGATCACAACTTAAAATATGACAAGCAAGGAGTAGTTCATAACCACAGAATTTTTCATAGGAAGAAATAATTGCTGTTGCTGCTGTTGATTTTTAGCTGCCACCGGTGGGGAAAAAAAAATCTTTGGACAATATTATTGTGTTTTCATTTATACCTGAATACAAAATAAAGACATCTCAAAGTGCGTTACTTAGTGCCTACATGATATCTTTCATTGTGACCAGGAATTTTTTGTCTACAATTAAAACTCTTTATTATTTTCTTTTATGTTCATAAAATGAGGTCAAGAACACTCAAGAAATTTTAGCTTATTTAGGAATATTAGACTGAAGCTGAGCTTCATTCCTTTTAATGCAATATGTAGTTTAGTATAATGAACAGAATTTTAGAGTGAAATCACTGGTATTCATTTAATTCATCTGCATAAATAAAATTGCTAAACCAGATTTTTTAATGAACAGGTTTTTGTAGTATTCAACTTCAGATTAACAGATTAATGTGGTTAGGCATCAGGTATGATCTATGACTACACGTCTGTGGCAGGAGCTGAAAAAAATGCAGTACTGTCCCAGCATCAAAAAGATGACACGATGCCCAGGTCTTAGGCCTCTGAATCCCATTCCATGAGTGAAAATGAGAGAAAGAGGTAAGCTGGCTTCACTTAGATCTCCAGGATGACTTCAGATGCTGAGGAGCACCCAACCTTGCCTCCCAGTATGGTTGGACTTCAGCCATGAATGAGCTGATAGCCAGTGGTGTCTGTGGCTGTTTAAGAGCTGCTCAACTCAAAGAGAACACCACTATGGGGCCAGTTAAATAACTCTAGAGTCCCCCTACCTTTCCTGACCAAAGACTTGTCATTTGACTGCACTTTGGCATCCAGAGCTACTTTATATGATTTGGGGTGCCTGAGAGGTGTGCCTCTCAGACATACTGGCACATTTGACCCATTACTCTCTGGAATGCCAGCTGGAGATGGATTTCAACTACATCTAATGCATCTCAAATGGCAATGTCTGTGTGCAAATAACTTCATCAAGAAGAAAAATTATTGAGCTGTAACTATCCAAGAGAGATAATAAGACAATAAAACCATATTGCTCACTATTCTGGACTCATCATTTCTTTTTTAGTCACTCTTTCTATCCAACACTACATGAATTTTTGGCTTGATATCTACCTCATGCTGCTATAAAACAATTTCTGGCTCACGTTCCTTTGAATAATTAGTCAGTCTTCTTTTGGCAACAAAATGGAAGACAGGAACTTCTAAGTATGGAATGGTATGCACTAATCTTATGGCCATCTCTTATTTTTTGTTTCTGAGTCATCAGAATAGCTCTGAGACATTTTACTTCATCTTTTGCTGAACAGCCTGAGCATAATGGTGTAAGTACACAAAAGGAAATTATAAGCATTGGATAGCAAAGGAGAGCCTGATCTTGCATTAATGAGACTTCAGTTATTGGTTACCAAATTAACCTTGAGTGAGAGCAATAAGGGCAAAGCCAGAGAGATACAAACAACTAATCTCATGTTTTTAGCGTGGAGACTCAGCAAAAAAAACAAGTTGTTTTTATTGCATCTGGCCTACCCATATTTTTATAACTTAACAGCCCAGAGAGAAATGCAGCAATAAATATATTATAAATGCATTAAGAACTGCCAGTTTAAAATTATATTTTGTAAAGTGCTATTTAAGGTTCATTTAGAAGAAAAATAGAATTGCATAATCATAAGAAATTATGTTCATAGTTCTACACTCAAGAAAGTGACAACCTTTGTGAGTTCAGAATCTTGTCATAAAGTCTAATATTTGAAATTAAAAAAGCTGTATATTTTTTAAGCATAAATGAGTCCATTCCATCAGCAGCTTTAGGAGAATTTACTTCTTTGACCTCATGCATCTTACAGATCTCGGCTTTCACAGGAGCTGAAACCAGGATCATTCAAAGAAAAGGAAGTAAGAAAGATAACGTTAATACTCTAAAAATATTTGATGGTCCCCTCTTTCTGTTGTAGGAAGATGTTATGAAGCTACCACTATACCCATGGTTTTGTCTTTGCAAGATTCTACTGACAGCTGGAAGAATGGAAACTGAATAGAGGTAAATGACCATTTAGAGAATCTGAGAATTCTCAAACTGAAAAGTCAGTTGACATGTTGAAAATTCAGATATGGCTTCATACTTATAAGCAGGGAAGAACTGGTCAGGAATGTGAAAGCTTCTTGTCACCCTTGGCTACCATTGGCAATGGCACTGGGTTGAAGTTCAGAAAAATCACAAGAAGAAAAAGCAGTATAATAACTCTGAATTTCAGAAGAACAGACTGCTCAAGGATCTGCCTGGAAGAATTCCACAGAAAACACACTTTAAGAGAATCATAGAATGAAAGCGGCCTCTAAAGCCATCTAGTTCCAGCTTTCCTGCCATTGGGACACTTCCAATGATAAGGAATCCACAACTTCTCTGAGTTATCTGATACTGAGGACTTCCCCAAACCAGGTGCAGGACCTTGTTCTATTTAGCCTTATTGAATGAAGTTCACATGAACACACTCCTCTGGCCTGTCACAGTCCCTCTGGATGACATCCCTTTCTTCAAAAGAATCAACAGGTTTTATGCAGACTTGCTGCCATTCCACTCAGTCATAATATGTCACTAATTAAAATACTGAACAATATTTGTGCCACTGCAGATCCTTATGAGCCACCATGAGTTACTGGTTTCCATTTAGACATTATATGATTGCAACATTTTGGACCAGGACATCCAGCCAATTCCTTATCCATCTAACAGTGCATTCACCAAACCCACTTCTCATCAATTTAGTAGCAAGGACTGTATCAAAGACCTTGCAGGAGTCCAGGCAGATAATATCCATAGCTCTTCCCTTCTCTACTGGTAGAGTCACTTCACTGTAGAATGCAAATAGATGAGGCAGGTGGACCTGCCCCCAGTGAAGCCATGTTTTCTGTCTCTTAAAACTTCCTTGTCTTCCAGATGTTTTGACATATCATTTATGAGGATCTGTTCCCATGATCTTAGCAGGTATGGAGGAGAGGTTGACTGGTGGATAATTTCCAGGGTTTTCTTTATTAACATTTTCTCTGGTAAATGGGGACTTTACCTGATTGGCATGACTTTTCAAATATGATGGAGAGTTGCTTAGCAACTGAATCTGATAATTCCCTCAAGTCTCTGGAAGGCATCTTATCAGGTCCTAAGATAAGGTGTCATGAATGAGATCAGGGTCCCCTACAAGAAAGACATTGAGGCACTGGAATGTGTCCAGAGAAGGATAATGAACCTTGTGGAGGGTCTGGAGCACAAGTTTCTTGAGGAGTGGCTGAGGGAGCTGGAGATCTTTAGCCTGAAGAAAAGAAAGCTTAGGGGACAACTTATCACTCTCTAAACCTACCTGAAAGGAGGGTTTAGCCAGGCTAGGGTAAGTCCTTTCTCTTAAATAACAAACGATTAGACAAGAGAAATTTGCCTCCAGTTGCAAAAAAATATTTCAATTTCTTCACTACAGGGTGGTCAGAAAGTGGAATAATCGGTCCAGGGAAGTGGTGGAGTCACCATACCAAAAAGTACATAAAAGATGTATAGGTGTGGTGTCTCAGAAAACAGTTTAGTGGTGGAGTTGGCAGTCCTTGGTTCATGGTTGGACTTGATGATCTTACAGTTCTTTTCCAGTCAAAAGGATTCTGTGATTTTATGATTGTTTGCTAAAGCCTTTAAATCCTTCTTACCCTAAACTTTGTGCCTAGGGTTAATTTTATTTTTAGCTCTTTTGAAACAAGTTTACTTTATCTAAAGCAATTTAATAATAGCACAACTTAATAGTAACCTTCCTTGGAATATAATAAATCCAAGAAAATTGGAAAAGTATAGATTCAATATAAATATTAACAGGATTAAATCATTAGTGGGCAAAGGGGTGTAATAAACTCTGACAGAGTATATATATGTTATTATCTTGAGATTATTTAACCATAGTGAAATAGAGACATCAAATGGGAGTCAGGTCCATAGGTGAAGAATAAATTTTGGCTTTTCAGTTCTAATTAGCCCATAAGGACTAGAGAAACAGTAAAATTTATACTTTTTTATTTTCTGAGCTCAGTATAGTATGATGATTTTTCAAGAATACTGTATATAGCCACTGATGCACAAATTAAGCTATGCAATTAGACATCTATTCTGATGTTATAGAAACACCATAGAATATAAATATACCTGGCATGTTTTTAAACAGGAATGGAAGAGCTCCTGCCCACACAGATCTTTTTCAGACCTTCATTTCCCAGAAAGGATGAACTACAAGCGAAGAAGAATACAAAAAAGTGGTGTGTAAATTAACTCTTGGTTTTACTCTCACAAACTGGATACCCTCCAGTAGATGCATAGAACTCTAAAAAGTAATAAATTATTTTCCATTGACCCATCAGGGGGACCCATTACTGGCAAAATATATTCTGAGTTAAAAAAAAAATATATATGAAGAATTGTTTGCAGAGAAGAAACTTTTATCCAGCACAAGAAATGTCACCTTAGAGCCTCTTTCCATTGAGGTGAGAACTGGAACAGGCTGACCAGAGAAGCTGTGGGAGCTCCCTCACTACAGACATTCAAAACCCACCTGGAAGCATTCCTGTGTCACCTGCTCTAGGTGACCCTGCATTGGTAGGGGGTTGGACTGAGTGATATTCAGAGGTTCCTTCCAACCCTATGAGTTCTAAGAGTCTGTGATTCTGTAATATTATGTTACCCTGCACATTTACATTTCCAAATATGTCAGCCCAAAGTGACCATGGCACTGGAAAAGAATGCTTAACTTTGATTTCATAATTAATTAAAATATCAATGGTTGTTCCACACAGCTGGGTATGAAGCTGTCCTAGAATCTAATTCCAGCCTTCTGATACACATTTTGGGACCATTTTTTCTTCAAATGTCACATAAAACTGACCAAGTAAGTTTACAGAATACCTAATGAGAAAACACTACATCATTCTTAACACAGAGCACAAGCAAACAGTTTTATTCCTGTTTGTGCAGCTTAACCTTCTGCTAAAGTAATTAGGTCTATAATTAAAAAGCTATTTGGAATGATTAAAACCCTGTTATCTAGTGGCATTTAAAGACAAATGCAAATGTCAGAAAGGATGAATTAATTAAAATCACTATTTAAAAGGAAAAAAAGTATATTAGTGTAAGAACTAGAGGATGTTATTTACTGAAATGCTACAATATGAGGTGAAGTTGCATGTTCAGAGGATAAAGAGAAGGTCAAAACAATTTTATCTGGTATTTTTAAATGTGCTTTGCTGCCATTCATGAATATATCTCGTATATTGTATATATTGTATATTGTTATGTACGTGCATAGCTGTGTGCCTCAGTCACTACCTATAGTTTAGGAACTATGGGATTGCTTATGGAAATCCTGTGTTTTTTCTCTGCTTTCCAGCCCAGATCCATGTTGAAGTGCCAAGGGAGAATCCTCCAGGGGAAGTGCAGACATGCTGTGAGAATGCCTTCCTTTCCTTCCTTCCTTCCTTCCTTCCTTCCTTCCTTCCTTCCTTCCTTCCTTCCTTCCTTCCTTCCTTCCTTCCTTCCTTCCTTCCTTCCTNTCCTTCCTTCCTTCCTTCCTCCCTTCCTCCCTCCCTTCCTCCCTCCCTCCCTCCCTACCTCCTATTCCCTGTCATTGCCTCCCTTCCCACCTCTCATTTCTCCATTCCTCCCTTCCCTCCTCTCAATCCTCCCATGCAATTAGCACAAAGGAATAGTGAGGTAGCATCAAGAATCCACTTTCATAATGTTGATTTCCCACCACTACCTACACTGAATAGATTTAGTGCAATAATTTACCAAATCTACAAAACAGATGTGGTGAGGGAGACAGCGTGTGTGCTGTGTAACTCAGATTACTTTTTCAAAAATCCCTAAAAAGTTAATCTGTATAAAGACATGCCACTGTATGAAAGGGATGTGTTTTAGAAGCATTTCAGCATGCACACCCACAGTAGATGTTCAGCATCAGCCCCCAGGAGGTAAATATCTCTGTTCTCTCATAATAGAAAATGAACCTAAGAAAAAAAGTTTAATCTTTGATTACTATGAATGCCCTACCTTGTGACAAGAGGACTTGTGAATTTCTTTACCAGCCTCAATATAGAATTATGACAGCATTTTTTGGTCATGAAAATTCTTTTTTCAGATCATTAAGCTTTCTTCTTTTTATATTATACACTTAGCTACAACATAAGAGCATAATAGACACAGCGCTGTTTTGCCCTCCCATCAATGACAAACCACACAGCCAAAACATTTATGACAATTAATACCGAGAAACTTCATATTTTAAGGCAGTGGGTTTGCTCTCAAATGTTTTTATGTTTGAACAATTGCTATAATTTGCTTCCAGATTTATCTTTATTACCTTGAATCTTTATATTATGCTATATGTGGCTAAAATATCTTTTTTTCAAGCTGGTTTCTAAAGTGATACTGATTGCAAGGTAAATTCTCTTCCCACTGCATAGTTAAAGCATTATGACCAGCAAAAATTAATTTTCAGTGCACACTCCCACACATTAACACAAAAATCATGCAAGTTTCTATTACTCACTCAAAGACAGCAACCTCTATTAATTCATATGACTTAATTTGACAAATCTCTGTTTATAAGGCTTCTGTCTTTTCAACTTCATTATAAGGAGTTCAAGAGACACTTAAGAAATTTCTCTGAGAGGAAAAAAAATCCCTGTGAAATAAGAATGATAAATTAACTGCAGCACAGCATATCTCTGTGTCTTCATGAAACATTGTAGCAATGACTCATTACATCTTAAAAAAAATAGGATTCATTAAAAAAAGGAACTCTAAGATTTCAATAATTTGATTAACATTACAAATTTCAGACTTTAAAAGATAATTATATTTTGACTGAAAATTTCAGGATGTTTCCTCTTCACTTTAAAGGGCACAGGAAACCTCAGCCGAAATCATTTACATAAAATATATTTTCAATTACCCATAGTGCCACAACAAACATTTTGTTATTGGTTAAAGTGTATAACCTCTGAAAAGCATGGAAAAAGAATTGTTAAAGGATTTATTTCCTTTTTTTAATGTGTTTAAGGCAGCTACTCTTAGAGTAGAAGGAAAATGTATCACTAACTCACTAATTTCTAATATTGCTGTTTTGACATTAGTTTTTGAATGTGTCTTTATTTATTCCTTGTTTATGTTGCCAGTTTATACTGTAAGCCCTTTAGGAGTGAGTCTAGAACTATAAAATATAGTGTGTTTTCACATTTCATTCTGACTTAGATTTGGGCATTTAGATAATATGGTAATATAAACTGAACCATTTTCATGTAATAAATTGGTTAAATAGTTTCAAATCTCTCAGCAAAAAAGATCAGTGAAAGTGTGTTTCTTCATTTTTCTTTGCTATATTAAAAAATAATTTGATTAAATTATTTGCATGTTAAATGTATTACAGTTTACGTGTACCAAAGTCTTTTTTCTGTAACTCTTTGTACAGAGCACAGCAGGGAACACGATGTCATTAAATTTCAACCCCAGTGTGAGTTACTGCTTTATCTGAACATGAGAAAGGTTATGCTCTAGGCATAATCCTCTGCAGTGAGGTCTTGATTCATAAACTCACTGCAGAGTTCACAGTAAACAGAGAAAACATCATAGCTGGTTAGCTTAGTCTTCATGTGGGAGTAAGAGGTTAGACAGAAAGCACTTGTAAATCTCAAGGTACTTGTGCTTTTGCTCCTTCATCGTGAAAAAACAAGGTTAGAAGAGACAACAGGGAGTGATTGAAATGTGGATGGAAAATCTTTGAATGTCATTCTCCACATGTGCAGATGCTAGAGAAATTTTCCTTTGTTTGGCCTTATTACTTTGTGTAGTAAAGAGTAGTTCTGTGGGTTTTTTCCCCTAATCCCACCCAAGATCATCACCTCTTTTCTCTCATTTTAGGCAAGCAGTTGTTCTTACTGTGCATTGTACATCTGAGCTTACGTCCTCTTTATGTGGGAGGGAATGAAATAAAGAATTGCACAGAACCAAGGGTCTGTTTTTACAAAGTGTGCTTTGTCTCTTCAAGTATTTATTTTTTAATTTTCCTTCACATTATAGGTGTTGAATAATCTAATATAAATTATTCTATATGTCTTTTCATATTACCAGCATTATGGACTTCCAAACAGCAGAGTATTGAGGGAATTACAAATTGTATTTGTTCATTGGTTTTCAACATGATAGACATAATATACCCTCTATGCATATGTGGCCCAAATTCTAGGCATCCATGAGAGTCATTCAGTTACTCTCTTCTGCTATAGCTGGGCAGAGGTGAAAGAAAAAAATAAACAAATATGTTGAGATAAGGCTTGCAAGAAAAACATTCTAAGGGCAAAACAGGTTTAAATTTAGAGGTATAAAGTAAATTTATTATTAATAGAGTCAGAGGAGGATAATGAGAAGCAAAATAAGCTCTTAAAAAACACCTTTTTCCTCCCCAGCCTCTCCTCCCTTCCCACCAACAGCTCAGGGAGACAGGAGGTGGGAGTTTTGGTCAGTTCACCACTCAAGATCTTCTTCTCTTTGCCTACGGAGAGGAATCTTTTTTCTGTGGTGTCATGGGGTGCCTCCCATGGGCAAAGAGTCTTCACAAAATTGTTGTTGCATGGGTCACGCATCCACAGGGTGCAGTCCTTCAAAGGTGGACTGCTCTAATTTGGAATCAAGGGCCGTCTCTATTTTTGGAAGGAAGCCAGGGCCCTATCTCTCTCTATTCAGGTTTCCCACTAGACCACATCTTCCTCTAGCATCCACCGGCTTCAGCGTGAGCACTTTTTCCACAGACTGTGAGTGGATCTCTTCATCCCCTGTCAACTTCATATATTACAAGGGAACAGTTTGTTTTACCATAGTCTTCACCACAGACTGCAGAGGAATCTCAGCTTCTACACATGAAGCACCTCCTACCCCTCCCTTTTATTCCACTGACCTTGGTGTCACCATGTTATTTTCCCATGTTGTTGCCTCCCTTCCTCTGACTAGAAGAAAAATTGCTGCTTGTATTGCCAAGAAGTTCCACTAATTCAAAGATTCTTGTAAGATCCCATAGTGCCAAAAAGTTGATCTTGTCTAGGTCCCACACTGGGGAACTAATTTAGATACTTTCTGCTGCTGGCCAGGCAGCCTCACCACCATCACACAGCAGTGGTGGCTGCCACAGTGCTGGCGCTATCTAATGTTTCTCTTCATGCAGGGCTCTGGGAAAGGGGAGCTGCCACCACTGCCCCTGCCCTCTTTGCCTGCAGTGCACCTGGCTAGGGGCAGCCAGGCAGGCAAGACTTGCCATGGGCCACACCAAGATGGCCCCCAGCAGTGGCACTTTGCCACACCTGGAAAAAAAATCTGTGTGCACACTGTTTTGATTTTCTTCTTAAATATATCATCACAGAGGTGTTACCAACCTCTCTAATTGTTCCAGCAGCATGTCCATCTTCAGAACCATCAGAGACTGGCTATGTCCATCTTCAGAGCCATTAGGGACTGGCTCTGTTTGACATGGTGCAAGCTTCTATCTGCTTCTCAGAAAAGTTATCCCTGTGCCCTCCCCTCCCCTCATTACCACTTTGTTTGGCTGTGCCAAACCAACACAGGCTGCTTTTTTGGATTTTTTTTTTTTTTTGGTACCTGGGCTTGCTGCAGTTAATAAGCCTCTTGGCCTCCCAAAATATGCAAGTTATCACATCAGACTTAGTGTGACTAATTTAGTTATTAGTGATGAATATGCATAAACTCACATGTGACAGGATAATTAATAATCAAACTAATACAAGTGACAAACCTCTATGTTACATGAAGGCCTCACTACTGTGTTCAGTACTGGTCGTTTGCTATACCAATATGAAATCTTCAGAGCTGAGTTTTGTATTAAGGTTATTGCTCTTAATTTTCATTTCTAGGGTTTCTTTCTGAAAAATTTCAATATAACTGATCATCTCCCCTCGACACTTTGATCTTTTTGAGGAAAATAAGACATATGGGTGTTGCAGCAGAAATACTTTCAATGAAGGAGAAAGGTACAGTAAATAACTATCAATGCAGTTCTTTGGGTGTGGTTACTCTTGCTTTAGCAGTTGTATTTCCTTTGTTGCACCCTCTTCTGCTACAAATCACTTGCAACTCCTACCCTTGGACGTGGTTCCAATTCTCTAAAACATCTTCAGTATGGCAACAGAATCAGTGTCTAGCAGCCAGTGAAATACATGTAATCACCTTTTTTATTTTTATAGGTGAAGAGCCAATTAATAAACAAATCACTGCCTTACACTGAGGGAAGAAAATTACTTGGAAAAATGCATACTCTAGCAGGTGGGATTTTAAAAGAAAAGCATCTTCTAGATGCCAACAGTTTAAATTACATTAGAAACAGACCTACATAAAACCACATCAGAGAGACACAAGGTAAGATAATGAGAAATGGGATCTATACCTATTTCAGGAAATGTCTGTACTCAAAATCTGATGTTTAGAATCTTA